TATGACGCAGGAAGATTTTTTAAACTTTACACCTACTCTTACAAACATAAAAAAGAGTTCGCGCACCAATACTGGCCATAACTTAGACTTTGCTAATGCGTTTTCATTTCGATTTAGTAATAAAAATACTAAAGTTTATTACGTCAAACATTCCGTTCATGGTGAGTACGACCAGGTGTCTATCTCAAAACGAGGAAGACCAGTATACACTACACTTGATCAGTTAGATAGAAAGTATCTTGAACCAATTAAAATTTCAAAAAAAAATACGACAATGTAAAGACATTGCTACCTTACATACCTGGCTGTGAATCATGGTTTTTTCCAAAATTTACAGCCGAAAATAACTGAAAGTGCTGAAGAAACAGAGGAACCTGAAATTATTAATGAAGCAGAGCCATTTTCTTAGTTTAAACATTATTTCTTTATATTTATTTTCTTTTTTGAGTTATTGACTTATTTAGTTTTTAATTGAAAATGTTGTCGTTTGTTAGTGCAAAAGTGTTACAAGTCACAATTTTTCTAATAAAATTCTATTTATATATTTATTATAGTTTTCTATATATTTTTTTTATTATTTCAGTATCCTGGATAGATATATACAGTTGTGTTACTAATGTAAACAACCCAAAAGGTAAAGAGACGGAAACATTAATTTTACAGATTTTGTACAAATTTCAAAGTCGATTTTCTAACAATTTTATATTTGTGCCTTGTCATTGTTTCACACTAAGCCCCCCTTCAATTGCAAGTTCAAGTTTGGTAATTTTGAGCTATTTTAGTTGAATCGAAAAAGATGGCAAGTAGAGTTTTCAAGAGTCAAGAGGACTATGCTCATTACAATTATCACCTTGAGGTGGTCGCCTTAAGATTTTCAATGTACTATTGTCATCGTTGTAGTCTTTCTTCAACACCTACTGAGATTTTGTTATTTCTCTTTTCAAAACACCCCGATGTTGTTTGATTTTATGAGTTCCTCGTTTATTGTTGTAGAGTTTAAACAAGTCGTACTTATTCTGCAGCGTTACTATCTCCTTGCATGTCTCCTTCAGCCATAGATCTTTCGCTTTTCGGCACTCTGTTTTTACCATCATATTCAGCTTCCTGTAATGGCTGTTGTTCTTGGTCTTTTGCTTTCTTCTCTCTGTCATAATCTGGAGGATTTGGTCTGTCATTTACTGCTGTTTCTTGGGAGTATGTGCAAATGCAGTGTCAATAGCTTGCATCTCTGTGGGCTTCCCATCATTCCGGAGTTTATGCAGGATATCCATGTAAGAACTCCTGTCTGTCGGCTTAATGAGAACCGTAGTACTTCGTTATCGTGTAGTGTAGTAATTAATTATAAATAATGTATTAATTTAATTGTTAAGTAGGTTAAGTATTCTTTTGTGCGCTATTGCAAATTCTTCGTAATCGATCATAATGTAACGTAATCACTTTTCGTTATTAAAAAGCGGTCATGATTGCGAAGGATGAGTAGTAGCAATCCATACATTAATAAGGAATAGTTATGTAATCATATTTTAATAAACAGTTATTCTTTAAATCTTACATCATGTTTCAATCTAAAAGATCCTGAACCATCGCATGGCGATCCTGCCAGTCGAGTGAAGCAGCGGATTTATTTATTCATTATTAATTAGAAGACGTACAAAGAAAATGGGAAAAGAAGAAATAATTATTGCATAAGCGGGCAATGGTGGCGGAGTTAGCAACGATACATCGAAGTACCACCTGACGGAAGTTATTGGCATCATGGCTGTGGGATTCTGCATTGTTTTCATCTTGTGGTGTGCATGTGTAAGAAGTAGAAAAGCATTACGTGTACAAGTAAGAAGAGAAGTGGCCAAAAGTTTTGAAAAGTTGCGTCGTAACGAGTCAGCAGTGTAACAATTTAGTGCTCTGTGGAATGTGTGGGATGTTAACAGATTTCAATTATATTTTGGAACAGGTAGATAGATTTAAAACCAATTTGTTGAAAGATAATCAGAGTAGAAGGTTAAATTTAGAATTAACAATTAAGAAAAGTAGGGAATTAGATAAGTTAGAAGAAAACTTTAACGAATTAGAATCAAAATTTAATTTAATAGGAAGTAAGAATTCAGATGTAATTTTAGAATGTGTAGAAAAAATTAGAGAAAATATAGATAATTGTAGAGTAACGTTATTAGAAAGAAAAGAATCAGTTAAGTTAGATAATCCAGTAAAAATGACAGAAAAATTTGATCTTAAAACAGCGGCTTCACTGCTACCTGTTATGATAAATTCTGAAAGCGTCACACCATTTTCCACGCCCAGCTGTTGTTATGGTCTATGCGTTTGCTGTGTATTTTTAAAGGTTATATGCTAGACATATTCATATTATTTTTGAAGTTTTATGTTTTTAGACGTATTAATGTCTATCATATAACCTCTGAAAACACAGATAGTTACCAGGCGTGGAAAATAGTGTGACGTAGAGTGCGGGCAACCAACCCGTAGTGGACTACAAAATTACAATGGATGTAGCAGTCCTGGAATTGACCTATATTCACAAATGCTGGATGAAGCTGGTCAAAGGTTATTGATTCAATATATTTTAAAAACACGGCTCTCCGTTAGTGCAAAATTGCGATTGGATAACACATACAATTCTATAAATGATTTGGTTAAAGATATGAAACTTCATCTACTGTCACAAAAATCTGCTGCAACGCTCTGTGTTGAATTACATAGTATCAAACAGAATAGTAAATCAATTAATGATTATGGAAAACAAGTTGAAGAACTAATGGTAAATTTAACAAGTGCGCAATCAAATGATGCAAATGCATCAAGTGTACTTCGTAAAGTAAATGAAAAAACAGCAATTGCTACATTTGCCAATGGTTTACGTAGTTCGGAACTAAGAACCATTATAAAGGCTAGGAATTACGAAACACTTAAATTTGCAATAGCGCACAAAAGAATACTTAACCTACTTAACAATTAAATTAATATATTATTTATAATTAATTACTACACTACAATCGCGGCGCCTAACTTTGTTGTGATTCGGTCCGTTTTGTAAGCTCATTCTTAGCACGAATTTCTCACGAAGCACGCCATTTTCATGTGTCTGGCGAAGATATCGCCATTACTAATTTAATTATTTTAATTCGCTGCTTTATAAGTTATACAATTTTTAAATGTTATAGAATAAACTCACTTAAAGCTAGACCAACTTCAAAATTCATTTAAGGCAGGAGATGTTACATAATTCGGTGGCTAACATCTATTTGCATTACCCTATCCCAAAATTAATCTTGTATTAGTAAATAATAACAATCATCTACACGGATGAATTCCACAAATCAAATGATGGTTGGGTAGTCCTCCAACATTCGTTTTTTCACACCACTCTGAAACAGGCAGGATTAGTTACTATTATACTTGCCGCGGAACTTATTCATTCTGACGAGTTCAGTCGGTTAATAAGAATTATATGATTTCTACCGACAACACACATTTTGTTTTAACATAATGAATAGTGTAATAATTACCTTTGGGCTGATGAAAGATTGTTATTTTACAGTGAGGAAACCACAATACATAATCATGTCATACTCTAGTAGAAGGATAAACACTCGGGCAAGTTTGTCAAACCTATTTTGTTGACCTATCTGTTATGAACAAAACGACAGTAAGTAAAACAATCACATGTAACTCTCCCATTTTGGATTAGGTATTTAAACAACAAATACTATAGAAACTTTATAAATCATTAAACAATATATAGTAAGAAATATAACTATTTCAACAATTAATTTGGTAACAAAAATTTTATATCAATAAATATTATTTTGTAACATCGGTAGTATCTTTTCTAATTCTTTAACCGATTTATCCAAAATAAGCAAATCCTTTTTAGCCGTATTAATACAAGTAACAACAGTCTCTGTTAACAGATGAATCTCTTTGATTTTTTGAGCATATTTATTACGTATAGCTTCTGGTGATAAATTCCAAATATCTGCATCAGTGCTATAGTGCATTAAAATCGGTTTCATAGGTTCTTCTATAGTAATATTTTGAAGAATTTTAATTTTAGGTTCGGGTAGGTTCTCATTTACAACAGTTTCATTTAGATTCCTTGTAATCTTTGGAGGAGATATTTCTTCTTCGACATAAAATGTATTACGCGTAGTCAAGTCTACTGTAATACTAGCATCAGTTTTCGATCTTAAAGATTTTTGCTTCCTTTTCTCTTCACAATGTCGCAAAAAACGATCTACACCATCCCATGTGGTTTTGAGCATTTCATCACTTATTCTACTTGGTTGTAAATTACTTTTTCGTTTATAGCTTCGTAAACTTATTGACGCCTTTGATCCACCTTTTGTTGTTTTGCTTCGATTGGTTTTTGACTAATAAAAAATTTAAAGAAACAATGTTTATAAATTCGATTTAAATAATAATCTTACTTTTTGGTTGCGTGTTTTCGGTTCAAAGTTGGTGGTCCTTTCCATCGTTTCTATCAAGGTTATAGGCTATGGACATACAAAAATTGTTTATGACATTAAATTAAAAATTCTTGATACGAAATATCTTACTTGGTCGGGCATTAATGTTTCTGATTGATCCTTATCATTACATTTATCATTAATACTTTCTACAGGAAGATGCTAGAAGACAAAATTTGAAAAGTAAATAATATCAAAATGTAAGTAAAGTGCTTACTTCAATTCCACTTATTTCCAATTCATTTCTTTTATCCTTATTTTCTTTATGTGTTATCTGGGATAATATCACATCTGGTTGATGTTTTAATCCATTAGTTTTTGTGATTTCTGACACTTCCAGAATTTCCTAAAAATTAGTTGTCAAAGTTTAATAAACTTAAATAAGCAAAAAACTATAAAGAAAATTATACTGGTTGTTCTGGTGTCTTTCGTCCTAGCTGTAATGTTTTTCGTGCAGTAGAACGAAGCTAAATAAATGAAAATTATATTTACGAAAGAAAATGGGGATAAAAATGGCTTACATTTCGGATTGTATTTGGTGGGTTTCGATTAATTTGATTTCGTTTAGAAGTAGTATCTCTCGTTTTATCGGCAAATGTGATTTCATCAAGGTTTTGAAGTGTCGCAATCTTTAAGTGACAATGAAAAAATAATTAGAATTATTTTAAATTAATAACAAATCACATACCTTTGATTTCTGTGTTGTTCTAACAATAGGTAATGGTTTTGGTATAGAGGTAACCTAAATGAAGTAAACATATTGTTAGTTAAAAAAGTAAACATACATTTTTATGACAATGTTAGTAAAATATTCAATATAATTAAATATACTGTTGAGTTTAAACATTTATTTCAATATTTTATTTTGTAAATATTTTCTTTTATTTAAAAATTAATTTTAAGGCAGAGAATGGAACAAAACTTTTTGTAATTTTGTAATTGAATAGTATTATTTCTAGACGGATTTTTATATCATCTTCAGGGGGATCGAAGACGACTATAAGATTTCATCGATGATGCACTACTTTTTACCGTTCAAAGAAGAGGAATTAACAATGATAATGTTAAGTAAGGAATGTTTAAAATGTATATATATATATAATTAGCAGGATATCGTCGATGACACAAGAAACTCCTGTAATTTAATTTTGCAAAATTATAGTAACTAATAATATTACTAATTTTATTGGAGTCCTCGTTTTGTGTAGTAGAGGGAGACTTTCGAATGGGATTGGAACTCTATTATTTATTCGGGAAGATAAATGTGACCACAAATCACTATATAAATTTCAGCTTATATTGCATTCAGCTGTTGGGACCACATTTAACATCGAATACGTAAATGACAGAATACTGAGAGTATTCATAGAAATCAACCAGATCACAACATTCCTCACAAGTACAGGGTGTCCGAATTTCGTTGTCCGTATAGGCAATCTCGGAAACTAAAAGAGATAGAAAAAATATATAGCCACCTATGGTTTCCATTTAAAAAAATAAAGTTAGTTCTAAAATCTCGAAAATAAAAGATGGAAGAAGATTCTACCTACGCCACTAAATACTTCATAAAAACTTGCCCATATAATGTTTTATTTATAATCATCTTTGATAATAAGTGAGATATTCGCGATTTCCGTTTCCGCAGTTTTTGTCAATTATTACCGATAGGGCGAAAACAAAAGACGATAGCTGTTCGCAGTTTTCGGCATTAGCATTTTCTCGAAAAACGAGATCATGACATGTAAGCTACTTTTTTTCTGTCTCGTTTAGTTTCGGAGATAGCCTATGCGGACAACGAAGTTGGGACACCCTGTACATATCCAAGAACGCAAAAGAATCAGAAAACTTTAACTCAGTACTACAAAATACCATTGACAAGCTTAATAGCAACCATAAAATTATAACTATAGGAAATCTAACAGAAATACACCGATCCCACTATTAACAACAATAGCGACCTTCTGATTGATTTCTATACTATAATGATTTCTTGATTTCTAAAATATAGCACAAGTTTACTTTCTGCAACACCAAAGGAGAACGATCCATGATTGACTTCATAATAACAAACAGAACCATTATTAGATGAGAGCTAAAATCAGCCAATTTAGATACTGACCACAACTTGGTTTTATGCAAAACACTAAAGGAACGGTGAATAATGACTAAAAAGAAGCCCATACACTTGGAAAAATAGAACATTCAATCTGTATTGGCAGATCTGTATATCGAATCTGTATGAAAACAGACTGGAAATCAAACTACAAAATACCCACACAATAGAGGAATGTGAAATCCAGAAATGCCGACAGCAAATTAAAGCAATTACAAATTAATACAAACGGCACCAACACTAAGCCATCAATCAAGCTGTTCAATAAAACATAAAAGAGCACAATTCAATGTGCTTTGGAGGAATAAGGACCTTGAGCAACAATGTGTCATGGTTAGAAGACTATATAATAAAGTCAGGAATTCCAAACTCGAGCAAACATGGGACCTCTATAAGAAAGTCTTAACGGAGTATAACTTGGTTATCCGTAAATCCAAAAGAAAAACTTGGCGTAGCTTCTGTGAAGGCTTAGACAATACGCCTACAGTTGCTCGCCTGCATAAGATCTTTGCGAAAGACCATAACCGTGATCAAGGCCACCTATGCAGACAAGACGGAAAATACACTGACGATGCTAAGGAATCGCTGGAGCTCTTACTGAGCACGCACTTTTCTTCCTCAAAAGTCTGCCCGCATGCGAACGCCGACCCTGAAGTAATGGATATAACCCGTCCATCCGGTAGAGTTCGCAGCATAGCTGGGAACATCTTTACACCCAACAGAGTAAGGTGGGCTATTTCTCATTTTAAGCCCCTAAAATCGCCTGGAGAGGATGGAATTCTGCCTATTTTTCTGCAAAAAGGCATAAAAGACCTGCTTCCACTAATAATATCCCTATACCTATATGTATAGCAAGCTACAGCTTTAGCTATATACCTACAATATGGAGGAAAGTAAAGGTGGTCTTCATACTACCAGTCTAAAGGTGGTAGGCGTTCAAACGCCGATCCCAAGGCATACAAGACCAATTAGCCTAACTTCATTTCTCTTTAAAGGGATGGAAAAGGTAATTGATCAATACCTTAGGAATGGAGTGCTTGTCACTAATCTAATCCATCCGAGTCAATATGCTTACCAGAAAGCAAAATCAATAATAACTGCTCTCGATGCTTTGACTAGCACTTTAGAGAAGACAATTGCAACCAAAGAGATAGCTTAGAAATAGATGTGCTTTCATAGGCATAGAGGGTGCTTTTGATAACCCCTCCTACGAATCCATAGAGAATGATCGAAACCAGCTTTTTTCGACCTGTGGGCGCGCCGCACCCCCAGGACAGCGCCATAACTCTATGTGGGGGGCGCCAACACATCAAAATGAAAAAAAAAAACGATAACTACTAATAATAGTTATTTGTCCACGACTACCTTATAATATACAGTGCGTTTCAAAAATAACGGATAAATTCGATAAAATCGTTACGAACAATTTATGAAAAGATCGCTGAAACGGGTCTAAAGATTTAAATTTTTTGCAATTTTTTGGTGTATATTTTAAATTTCTTCCGCCATTTTTAAACGAGTTATGACGTCATCGAAGTTTTTTTTTAAATGGAACACCCCATTTTTATATCTGAAATTGAAACAGAATTTTTTCTTTATTATTTCTCATTCATTGATATAGAAAATAGCAATAGCAGTGCGTAACCATGGCAACCAATTGTTTTGATTTGACATTTTCAAGTGTCAAAATTCAATTTGAATTGAATTATTTATTTAATTTAATTATTATTACTATTGTACAGGGTGTCCCAATTTCGATGTCCGCATAGGCTATCTCCGAAACTAAAAGAGATAGAAAAAAAGTAGCTTACATGTCATGATCTCGTTTTTCGAGAAAATGCTAATGCCGAAAACTCCGAACAGCTATCGTCTTTTGTTTTCGCCCTATCGGCAAAAACTGAAAATTTTGCGAAAACGACAATCGCGAATATCTCACTTATTATCAAAGATGGAGTATTATAAATAATACATTATATGGGCAACTTTTTACGAAGAATTCAGTGGCGTAGGTAGAATTTTTTTCCCACCTTTTATTTTCGAGATTTTGCAAGTAACTTTATTTTTTTAAATGGAAACCATAGTTGGCTATGGCCTAAAATAATTCGGTATTTTTTTCTGACAACAAATATATATAGTTTGTTGGGTATATTTCTTATAGTTATTGAATAAATAACAATATTTCTTTTTGGGCTTTCTAAAGCAATTGTGTGTATCTAAAAGTTAATGTTGCTATGGTGATAACCACACTATGATGCAAACTTATGTTCTTAAGTTACTTCATGTTTGGGTAGCAGGCTTAGGTCGATGTTAAATTGTTTCAAAATACGAAGTTTGAAACTCGCGTATAACAGAACCGAATAAAACTTTATAATGAAATTCGAAAATTATGAAAAATTTAACATGATTGGATCCTATATTCTATCAAATAAGAATGCGATGCAAACCGCAGAATTATATTTCATAAGATATCCAGAAAGAAGACAACCGCACGCGAAAACCTTTAGTCGCTTAGCACAAAATTTAATGGAGTTCGGGTCCTTCACGAAACCACGTCCAAAAACGTATCAAAATGACCAGGAGGATGAAGTCAATGTGTTGGCTACAGTTACGGTAAATCCATCTACATCTTGTAGAGAAATTGAACAAGACGTCGGAGTACCCAAAAGCCGCTGTTCCCGAATTTTGAAAAAAAATAAATATAAACCATACAAAGCACGGGTCATTCATCATTTACGTGCCGGAGATGCCAATCTAAGATTAGCATTTTGTCGATGGTATTTGGAAAAATTAACTAATCCACTTTTTGCTCAAAATGTGATTTGGACTGATGAAGTTCACGTTAGTAGTGTGGGAATATTTAATAGCAATAATGAACGTTTTTGGTCCGATACAAATCCGGATTATGCAATAGCCAGACGTTCTCAAGGAAGATTCGGGTTCAATGTGTGGTATGCCCTTTTAAACAACAGAATTTTGGCATATAGCATCTACCATGACAATTTAAATGCAGATAGATACCTCAGTATATTAAAGCAGCACATAGAACCTTATGTCGACAATTTACCATTGAATATGTCCCAAATGTTATATTATCAACACGACGGAGCACCAGCACATAATGCCAGAGCTGTTTGTGAATTTTTAAACATAAACTTTGGCAATAATTGGTTGGGAAAAAATTCTAGTCATAGATGGCCACCACGATCACCCGATTTATCGCCACTAGATTTTTTTCTTTGGGGACATATAAGAAATATTTTGTATAAAACAACTCATGAAAATTTAAATGAATTAATAGAAAATTTTGAAGCTGCATTAAATTCTATCTCCAATGTTCATATTTACAATGCTATAAATAATTTAAGAAAGCGTTGTGTTCTTTGTATTAATAATGAAGGCGCGCAATTTGAACATTTCTAATTTGATTATAAAAATATTTACCTTTTTTGTTATAAATGTTTGTTGTTAATGGTTTACTTGTTTTTTGTTTTTTCTTCATTGTTTTATTTATTAAATTAATAAAATTCTTATTTTTGTTAATCTTACTGCGTTAAAACACATTCTTGTTATTTTGCAGAAACTGCGTAGACTGCGTAGGCAAAATAAATTATATTATGTAGTAACTTAAGAACATTAGTTTGCATCATAGTGTGGTTATCACCATAGCAACATTAACTTTTAGATACACACAATTGCTTTAGAAAGACCAAAAAGAAATATTGTTAATTATTCAATAACTATAAGAAATATACCCAACAAACTATATATATTTGTTATCAGAAAAAAATACCGAATTATTTTAGGCCATAGCCAACTATGGTTTCCATTTAAAAAATTAAAGTTACTTGCAAAATCTCGAAAATAAAAGGTGGGAAAAAAATTCTACCTACGCCACTGAATTCTTCGTAAAAAGTTGCCCATATAATGTATTATTTATAATACTCCATCTTTGATAATAAGTGAGATATTCGCGATTGCCGTTTTCGCAAAATTTTCAGTTTTTGCCGATAGGGCGAAAACAAAAGACGATAGCTGTTCGGAGTTTTCGGCATTAGCATTTTCTCAAAAAACGAGATCATGACATGTCAGCTACTTTTTTTCTATCTCTTTTAGTTTCGGAGATAGCCTATGCGGACATCGAAATTGGGACACCTGTACTTGAGATACAAAAGTAGCAATAGCTTGTTGCATCAAACGCATTAAAAAAAACGCAAACAGAAAATAAGATATCAAAAATTAAACATTTTTTTTAAACTTTAAGTTTACAAAAATAACATGAACGGTAGAAAATAATAATCATCATTAATTCAAATGTTCAAATTGCTGCTCGTTAGCAGCAAGGCAATATCTTAATCGGGAGACAAATGCTTCTTGAACGTTTTGAATCATATCCGGGCCGATTAATTGAATTTCTTCTCTAATTTTTTGCTTCAGATCTTCTAGGTTATCAGGCTTATTAAAATAAACTTTAGATTTTAAATAACCCCAAAGAAAATAATCTAAAGGGCCATTCAATATGTCCGCGTCTGCCAATTCACCGATTGGGAAATTTTTGGTTGAGGTATTCTCGTACAACTAGAGCATAATGAGGAGGTGCGCCATTTTGCTGTAGCCAAATTCTGGGATGTAGTGAATTTAGATCTTCTGCATTTGGAAAAATTGCAAGTAAACTTGGAATTTATTCTAATTGATGGCCGCCTACTGTTCCGTTAAAGAAATACGGTCCAATAATTCTGTTCTCCACTATTCCAGCTCACACATTCACCTTTTGGGGATACTGTGTATTTGCCTCGGCTTTCCAATGGGGATTTTCTACTGCCCAATAACGGTAGTTTTGCTTGTGCCAAAAACTGGTGCCATTTAAACAAAATGTTGCTTCATCGGAGAATAGAATGTTTTTAATAAATTCCGGATTTGCGTAGCATAGTTCCGTCATTGTTTCGCAGAATTGCACGCGTCGATCAAAATCGTCATCGGAAAGCTCATACACCAAGTGTACTTTGTAGGGGTGATATTTTTTTTCTTAAGAAATCTTGATATTGTGCTTCTAGATGTATTTAAATTTGCAGCAATATTGGAGATGTTTGAATGCGGATTTTCCTCTACACTTAACACTACACTTGACATCCAATTGACGGTCTTCATTTAAGGCCAATGGACGTCCGCTCTTAGGTTTATCTCGTACATGACCAAGTTCGCGAAATTTACTCTCAATTCGACTTATTGTCGATAGTGATATTGGAGTACGATTTGGATGTTTTTCGTTAAACAACGTTCGGACTCTATTTCCGAAACCAATCATCATAAGAATCTCGATTCTTTCAGTTTCAGTAAGCGTCATTATTAATTTCTTACTTATCGAATAGTCGTCTTATCGAATAAATAAAAAATAACCAATAATAGATAAAGAATAAGATCAAATAACAACAAAAAAGTAACAACGAATAGCGATGAATAGCAACAAATAAAAATGAATAACAACAATTAACACAAGAAACTCCACAATACTACTCAAAATAATTTCATTAACGCACAATACACTGTTTCAAATCAAAACATTTGGTTGCCATGGTTACGCACGGCTACTACTATTTTTTATATCAAATGAATGGGAAATAATGAAACTTTAAATTAATTTTTCTCGAAAATTTTCTTATCTAACCGATATTAATATTTATTGTACATAATTCAGAAAAGAATTCTCTTTCAAACTCCGATATAAAAAATGGGGTGTTCCATTTAAAAAAAACTTCGATGACTCGTTTAACTCGTTTAAAAACGGCGGAAAAAATTTAAAATATACACCAAAAAATTGCAAAAAATTTAAATCTTTAGACCCGTTTTACCGATTGTTTCATAAATTGTTTATAATAATTTTATCGAATTTATCCGTTACTTTTGAAACGCACTGTATATCAAATATTTTTATTCTATCAAAATGTGTATTTTATTAAAGATAACGTAATGCTTATTGCTTAAAACCGAAGCAAACACATTTGAATAAATGTAACAGATGCAAAAAAAACGCCACGGCCATGGGTATTAATATCCATTGTCATAAAATTTATGACACACGCCCTCTCATGTTATAAAATAGGACGAGCCCGGTCGAAGGTTAAAAACAAATTGTAAAGCAATGCTTCTGTTTACAATATTTAAAACAAAATATTGAAATAAATAAAATATTACTATTTGATACAATTAAAATCACTTACCTTCTGTTTCCGTAATTTTTCGGGATCTTCATGTATTTCGGCCGTAACGGTAATAATCTGGCATGGCTCGTCCTCAGACGATGTTCTTTCACGAATTTTGACACATTTTCCATTTTTTTCTTCGTCAAGATTTTCTTTCTTTTCTTCTTGGGATTTAAACATTTTTTCCATCGCTATTTCAACTTCACAATCGACATTATTAATTACGGTATTACCTTTTTGTTCCTCCGTAATTTTCGTTTTATTTTTAACATTCTTTTTTGAATCTTTACTCGGTTTCAACGTTTTCAATTTCTTCACACCAATTTCTTTAACATTATTATTCACCTCAAGATAGTTCTCATTGTACAACGTTCTTTTACCTTTTCTTTTCAATTGTAACATCGGTTTTACAGGTTGTTTGTTCCTATTAACAGACGTAATTCATATAGAACAACATACATAGTTACTCTTCATCTGGAGGTACGAATAATAAATACCGGTTCTCAAAAAACTAGTTTCAATGTTTTTGTTGAATGTATTTGATTTATCAGTTGTTATAACGACCTATGCTTCGTTGAATATTTTGAAAGCGTTTAAGGAAACACGACGAATAATACGGATGATATATAATACGTACGAATAATAAATACCGGTTCTCAAAAAACTAGTTTCAATGTTTTTGTTGAATGTATTTGATTTATCAGTTGTTATAACGACCTATGCTTCGTTGAATGTTTTGAAGGAGTTTAAGCAAACAATAAAAATTATCATTAATAATAGTGATACATAATTTTAGTCGCGAAAGTTATTAAAACAAAGTTATTATAGTAACATCTCTTGAGCAACCGATTGAAAAATTTATGGAGATTATAGATAACTGCTTTATCAACACTTTTCGTCTTTAAACGATTTTTTAAATAAGTACAGCTTGTTAGTAAAGTTCCGAATAAATTATCTCATTGAGCTCGCATTTTAGTAATGTTTGTTCAAAGTTATCAAGTATTAGTTATTATTACCTTCATAGTTCTTCCATAGTAAAATGTTTTCAATGATTTCGTCTATTCCTAGATCGATGTATAACGTTGGTTTATTAAGCACATTACACCCTAATATATTTATACCAAATATTTTTTATAACATAATGTCAGTATCGTGTCAATACATCAAAGCGACACCGCCATGATTCCAAACCTAAAGATCCTTGAGATCATAACCTTGTATGACTTATAAAAGTACTTACGTAGGTACACCCGTCTGAACAAGAGATGTATTGAGATGAGCAACATTTAGGAGATGAGATTATACAGGTCATTCGTTACTAATGGGACACAGAGCAACAGTGAATTCCTTAGATTAAATTATTACGGTTTAACCCAATTTATCTTAGTCCAATTGTTAATAATAACGAAGATACAGATGGTTAAAGTTAATACTTTATTTTCGTTTTTCTTTAATAATTTCGCTTTTGCTTAAATAATGAACATGAAAATTAGTACATTATCATTTTTTGAGACGATAAATAATAATTTGGTATTAGTTTTGATGTATCTTTCAGATGGCGCTACCTGTCTTGAAAACCTCCCTTAAGATAGTCATATCTTTTTCGTCGTTAAAATTTTTACAACTCATACAACTTGAAACAGTTTCTCAGACATTTTTACAGAAATTCGGTATATCTACCAATCTTCTCTAAAGTTCTCCGTTTCCAAGATAATCACTATTTAAGGGAACATTGCAAAATTTAACTATGCTCAGCAAGGGCGTCGCCAGAGAGGGGCAGAGGGGGGCCACTGCCCCACCCCTAGAGGTAGATTCGAAAAAAAAATTAAAACACAATAAATATACTACTAATAAATATATATATATATATCGAATACTGAACAACTATCGAATGGGATGCCATATTTTGATCTGGAAACCAAGAAAGTTCAATAAGTATTCCTCGGATTCGTCAAACTTGATGCTTTGGATGCGAAATGTATTGCAAAAGCAATAGATGAGTTTTCGGCAGAAGAAGATCTTGATCCGGACAAATGTGTTGGTTTAGGATTTGACGGTTGTTCGACGATGTCCGGGAAAGAAGGTGGTGTGCAAGCAATCCTACGCAGAAAATATAAAAAAGTTTTGTGCTTTCATCAAAGATATTATTACATTTTTTCAAGAATCAGTTTTGAGACGCAAATTGATACCAAATGTTTCCAAGCTTTGCGAAACAAGGTGGAGCGAGAAACACAAAAATATTAGTGTTTTTATGAGAATTTTCCTATTATAATGGAGGCCTTTGAAACCTCGTCACGGGAAGAAAATAAGAATAAATAATGCGACTAGAAAAAACACTTATCAGCTCCATGCAGCAGCTTCTAGAGTTTCATTTATTCTCAGCTTTATTTTGATAGCCAAATACTCGGCTATGATGGAACCTGTGGTAAACGTGCTCCAATCCGTAGCTTTGAATGCAGTTAAGGCATCCCAGCACATTAGCCGCCTTTTGGAATTTATAGAAAACCACCGTAACGGTCCAGAAAACGTCACAAATGGAATTATTAGGGACGCTACTATCGTTGCAGAAAAACTTGGAGTGAGAGAAGACATGAAGTCCTTGCCCCGTATTGTTGAGAGACAACAACATCAGAACAACCACCCAGCAGCAAGCCCCTCAGAATTCTGGCGGAGGTCTTTAATAATACCATACTTAGACTCGATTATTAATTCTTTTGAAGTTCGCTTTTCTGAAGAAAACACCCCGTCATTTTCCTTATCTAAATTACACCCATCTCAAATGTTAGACATGTCCCTTGAAGACTTCGTAGAAGCTGGTGAAGTCTTTTCCCAATGTTACAATTTATCAAATATCAACAACGAAATGGAAAAATATTATGGAAAAAACTATGACAAGATAAACCTGACTCAAAAGAATTAAGTGTTGTGGATGTCATAAAAGATGCCGACATTTTTTTCCCTGAAATGAGAAAAGCCTTTATAATTTTGGTCACTTTACCCTGCACGACATATACTGTTGAACGATCTTTTAGCAGCTTGAGGACAGTAAAACCTGGCTTAGAAGCACTGTGGCAGAATGTCATCTCAATGGTCTTCCCATGATGAATGTGTATAGGAAGCATATTTTTGAAAACTTTGAGGATTTTATTAATAATCTGGTTGACCAATGCGAAGAAGCCACGAAAATTATGTTTTAAATAATTTGGTGTTATTTTTCAATTTTTTTGTCGTGCCCCCCTCTGGCCCACTGGCTGGCGACGCCCTTGATGCTCAGGAAACATTAGTTGGCGTACAATTGTTAATCATCTCAATTGTTAATAATAACGAAGATACAGATTATTAAAATTAATGCTTTATTTTCGTTTTTCTTTAATAATTTCCACTGACAATTAGCATTAATACTGTAGTATTAATGTCAATTAACAGTGTTAGTCTAGTGTTTGACTAAATAAAATCATTTTCAACGCCAATTAATGTTTTTTGAGCATAGTTCAATTTTGCAATTTGCTTAAACAGTGATTATCTTGGAAACGGAAGAAAACTTTAGAGAAGATTGGTAGGTATACCAAATTTATGTAAAACTGTCTGAGAAACAGTTTCAAGTTGTGTGAGTTATAAAAATTTTAACGATGAAAAAGATACGACTACTTTAAGGGAGGTTTTTTAGGGTAGCCGCCATCTGAAAGATAGATCAAAACTAATACCAAATTATTATTTATCATCTTAAAAATGGTAATGTACCAATTTTCACGTTCCTAATGTAAGAGAAAGCGAAATTATTAAAGAAAAATAAAAATAAAATATTAACTTTAACCATCTGTATCTTCGTTATTATTAACAATTGTACGTAAAGGAATTCAGTGTTGCTCTGTGTCCCATTAGTAACGGACCAGCCTGTATATCTTGTTTGAAAAAATCGTAATTTAAAAATTTATCATAACAAATGAGTTGTAACGACGGGTTTCATACATTTTAACACAATTTGTAAATTATAAATATTAGGTTTTCCTACATTTATTATAAAGAAGGAGAGAGTGAAGCAGGAATAATCTATTGCTATACATAGAAGCTTCAGGAAATTGATAACAACATAGGAACCAATAAATGAATCTAATACATGTACAGGTCTGTCACGACGAAACGAGTCTACACGTATGTGGCAAATTACTGGCACTATTTTTATGAAAATTTGCATATAGCGTTTATCCGAAGTGCTCGTTTCAGCTAAAATATTTTCAGTTTTCTCCAACTTCCGATTATTTTTCGGGATCCCCGCTAAAATTTAATATAATTTGATATAAGTCATCATATGTCTAGAGTGCACCATTTTTGAATTATTTCAGTTTTTTCGAAAATTTTGACAAACCTTCACAATAAATATAATTTTTCTAAATTACACTCGAGTCCGGCCAAATATTCTCAAGGTTTGAACTTTGTCATTACATCGCTATATCTAAAATGTATGGTTTTCGTAGAAACTTGAAAAAAATGAAATTTTCTTGATTATATGATTTTGTTATAACAGCAGAAGAGAAATGAAGGTACTATATTTAACAACATAAATGAAAAACAAAAAACAACAACGAAAAATTGATATAACTATAGTAAATGTTCGAACTGGTTGCGCTCAACTTCCAAACATTTATGATTTCTTTTTAAAAACCCAGCATGAGTTGCACTCCGAATTTCTGCGAAAGAAAGAGATCGAAATGCGTCACGAACTGTTTCTTGGCATTCTTCCTTTGTTGTGATTGGTGTAGCATACACGATATTTTTCATACAACCCCAACAAGAAAAATCTAATGGAGTGATATGGGGATCCAACGATCCTCAAAACGATTTTGTACAAAGTTATATATAAGTGCACTATAATTTTGTAGAATTTCTAGATATGTTTCGAAATAATGAACAAAAATTAGAAACAAAATTTACCCTACAATTTCCAATAAGCTTACCATTCAAATTTTCATTATAAAAGTGCAGCACTAGCACACCATCATTTTTTATGACAACTAAAACATAAAAACTCCAGTATCCACTCACTCCAATAAGGAGAGTTAAATAAATGCCGGTTAAATACACCATTCTTGTAAAATTTCGCCTCATCCGTCCAAATTATTTTTTCCAAAAATCTTTATCTTCTTGAGTTTTAATCAACATAAGTTGACAAAAATCAATTCTCCTTTGATCGTCACCTGGCCTTAAATTTTGTGCCAATGAATAAGAATAAGGATGAAAGTTATATTTTTAAAATCCTGTGATTGCTTTTCTCAGATATTCCCAAATCTCTTTTAGCATCTAATAACGAATTTTCAGGATACGCTCTGAAGAACCCCAAACCTGTAATTTCATTTTCTTCGCTATCTACGATTGGTTTAACTCTTTTGTGCTTTCTAACAAAGTGGCCATACGTTCTACAGTTACTAAATCCTAAAATTAAGATATTTAAAGGAGCGTTCTTTCTGATTGTGAAAACACTTGTTTAAAATTCGGTTTGATAACAATTGCACAACGGCTTGAATGATCCTAAACGGAACATGATTAACACTTTTGCAACGTAAACGTCAAATTATTTGTTTTAATACGATAGTTTTTGTTTCTACAGTTTAGTTGCTTCAAACCAAAGACAACTGATAATTTTAAATTTACTAATAACCAAGAAAATTTCATTTGTTTCAAGTTTCTACGAAAACCGTACATTTTAGATATAGGGATGTAATGACAAAGTTACCTTATTTTCCAGCGTACAATACGCTGGTGAAGAAAAAAATTGGGGTTGCCACTTAAAAAAATGAAGTTGTCGACTTTTCGAAATAGGGAAATTCTGCGCAAAGTTCTGACCAGCCTATATAATTTTTTAAAGAACTTTTCAAGGGTTATGTAAGCTATGAGTCCTTTCTGTGAAAACCCTGAAAATATTTGGTCGGACTCGAGTGTCATTTCAAAAAATTATTTTTATTGTGAATGGTTGCATCTGCCAAAATTTTCGAAAAAACTGAAATAATTTAAAAATGGTGCACTCTAGACATATGATAACTTATATCAAATTATATTTCCTTAAAATTTAGCAGGGACCTCGAAAATTCAATAAAAATTGGTGCATTCCATTTAAAATAAGGAAGTTGGGGTCCATTTCCGGTATAACCGGAAGTTGGAGAAAACTGAAAATATTTGAGCTGAAACGAACACTTCGGGTAAACCCTGTATGCAAATTTTCACAAAAATAGTGTCAGTTGTTTGCCATATACATATAGACTCAGCTCGTCGTGACAGACCCTGTATATAAAGTAAAGATAATAAAGATCAATTAGTCGAACAATTAAATTGTACAGATCGGTACGTCAGGAAAAGTAATTATTTTAGGAGACTTTAATGGTAGGGTGGGAAAAAAGGATACAGATGTTGTTGGAAATTATGAATATTTATACAAATATCCGAACAAAATCAGCTGAAAGTTCTACATGAGTTCTGCCAACACTGTCCATAAATATACATGGAAAGAGACAGCACAGAATATACAACTTTATAATTAGAAGTATATAGCTGTAAAGTGTAGTCTATAAAGATAAGACAGCAAAAACACTAAAAACCAAAGAGTCGGATTACTAGAAAAGACTTGCTGGAAAATATAGACTGGAAAGCAGTAGAAACGAAGACATAAGAAATATAATGAAAATAAATAATGAAATTGTTGATGATGTAAAAATTGCCCTACTTAGATGCTAATTAGACGCTTATCTATGCAAATTTTCACAATAGTGCCAGCAGTTTACCAGATACAGGTGTTTCACTTAAAACTCCCAGGCCAAGTATCTCTGGAATGGGTTGAGATATTTTAGTTTTGTAAGAAGTTTTTAACAAACTTTTTATTAGGTGCATGTGATGGAACATTGAAAACTGTGCACTTTCCTTATTAACATTGATTTCAAAAGTTAGTGGTTACGAAGATATTTAGTATTAACATTGAGAAAATTTTATTTTGAACGAAAATATGCTGATAGAATTAAGATGGTTATGACATGGGTTACATAGAAACCGTGTACATTGTTCATTATTGTTTGATTATTTTATTACTTTATGGAGTAATTTAGTGTATCTTAAAATTAACAGCTAAAATTTTAACATAAAATGATTAATAATATACAATTTCAGATCGAAAAACATTTATAAATTTATGCACAAACCTTACCAATGTTGGATCATTTAAGAAACTATAACGACAGAGAGAACAATGAGTTCATTGTGACAATTAAAGGAAGACACGCAAATTTCTGTTACGTCGTGCCATCGAATTTTAAAAACGTCGTTTCCATAATAATGGAATAGTGTGCAAACAAAATAGTCGACATGGGTACAAACAAAGAATAAAACGATTTTTTGGGTCAATGTTTGGTGTGGAATAATCAATGGAACTTTGGTAGGACCTTATTTATACCACGATACGTTAACAAGTCACCGTTACCTGGAGGTTCTCCAGAACAACCTTCCTGAACTGCTTAATGATTTGCCGGACGCTTTAAAAACAACGATGTGGTATTCAGTGTTTGGATCGCAGGTTTCCAGGAGGATGAATTGGTACAAATGGTGATATAAGGTGACCTCCAAGATCCCCTGATTTAACGCCGCTTCCCTTTTTTTTTGAATTCTTTAAAAGCGAATGTGTATAAAGAACCTATATCCGATATGGCGGATTTATACGCAAAAATGTATGCAAGTGTTAATGCAAGTAATTGCGCCACATTACTTAGAGTATGTAATGTTGAACTGATAAGACTATTCGAATTGTATGAAAATGGAAGTAATTTTGAACAGTTATAAGTTTTTTTGGTTGTACCAATGATTGTTACGGTGAAAAATTTATTTGATAGCCTAACATGTTATTTTGTTTTTATTTTGTATGTTAGAAAATAATGTTCTGACCATTTTGTTTGTTTCTATAAATAATTTTATTTCAATTCTTTTTTACTTTCCTATTAAATATCTTTGAATGTCGTTTTAAAATCAATGTTAATAAGAAAACTTGCACAGTTTTTGATATTCTATCACATGCATCTAATAAAAAGTTTGCGTTGAAGGGAAAGTTTCTTTTCACAGCAGCGCCACCTTTATTTTTGTACAATGCAAAATAATAATACTTAAGAACTGAAGTCATTTATGAACTTTAACCCAACTTTTTACAAAACTAAAATACCTCAACCTATTCTAGAGATACTTGGCCTGGGAGTTTTAAGTGAAACACCATGTATATATGTAGACTATATATAGACTTACCTCGACATGAGAGACCCTGAACAAAGAATGGGTCAAGACTGACTACCAAACAAAGTTCTGCACTGGGCACAACTTTTAAAGTAGATCCCACCCCGTAGATTTTTCGTAGGACTGAATAACGAGCGGTATAAATATGGATACGTAGTCTTGCATCTGTTAATTTTTACATGCTCGATCGAACTAAGAAAAATCTAAGAGTTGGGACATTCTTTAAAAGTTGCAGAGTCCATATTTTTCACAAATTTTTATTTAGATGTATAATAAAAACTAATTTACCAATATTTGATTTTGGGGTATCATTATATACGTCTTTTATAGCCCTATTAGAAAATGTTACAATATGTAGTATGGTTTTCCATTATACAAAAATGACTCAATTTTCGGAAAACTAAAAGTGATAAAAAAATGATTATAGTAAAATATATGGGCTAATAAAAAAAAGATCGAATCAAATGAGCATCAGGGATAGTATCGAGAGATATTGATATTTGATAGGGAATATCTTGAGAGGAATATTTTGAGACATGTCAGAAACAATTTTAATTCCAAAGATGATATTAGGGAAAAAAGTTAAAATATTCGAAGATATTAAGCACGATAATGAGAGATCTCGAGAGATATTAAGGATAATGTTGGGCGACATTACACGTTGCTTAAAATTCCTACGACGATGCTTAGCTATATCAAGGATAATATAGATATAGAATAGGGGACATCTTGAGAGAAACTGGCAGAGTGTTGAGAAATGATAGGTATTATTATATTTAGAAACGATTTTAATGCTAAAGACGTTATTTTAAGAAAAAAAGGCGATATTCCACGATATTAGGGCCGATATTGAGAGATATCAGAGATGACCTTGCGATAATTAGAAATATGACTGAGAGACATTAGACGTTGCTTCAATATTTCCATGACAATTCTTAACTATATCAAGATCGGTATTGATTATTGAGAAATGTTAGGAATTGTATTAAGATATGTCAGAAACGATTTAGCTACCAAAGACGATATTTCAGGAAAACACGGGCGACATATTATAGATAGTATAGATATATGATGAAGGGACCATGTCGAGAGATATGAGGATGATGTTGAGAAATAGTCAAAATGCATTCAACGGACTCATAAAAGCCTGGTTCAATTCAAATCGTGTTTTGAATGATAACGACATACTTTTGAGGCAGACTGTATAATTACAGATATTAATCGTGTAGTTTTAGCGGTTAAAATCACATAGTCACAGTTAAAATTTGTACAGATTAATTTTTTGCTTAGTTGCTCAAAAAAGAATACATATCCTATCTTACCTGTTAAAATAGTCATGGGGAACTTTTTCAATTTGCGTTGTATTCGAGCATTCTGGATCCTGTCTCGGTTTTACCTCGACATGTTTCAACATGCAGTTTAAATACGACTTAACCATTTTATAGTTAGGATCAAAATATTCCCTTATTGGATCGCATTTCAATATTTTATCTTCCCGTGATCTTTTAGGAGATGGCAATATTGGAAAAATGTGGTCATCAGCATTTGATTGTTGTGTTTGATCGATATCCAAAGCAATGGTACTTACACCACTTAAAGGTAAAATAGACTTTTCGGTAGGTGTTATACCATTCTTTATTTGTTCTTGTTCATCTTCCCGTAATCGTTTAAGAGACGGCATGTTTACAGATTCATCAACTTTTGGATGCCGTGGTTCTTGATCTATTAACGCATTGAAATCCAAAGGAACAGTGCTTGCTCCACTTAATGGTTGAGCAATTTCATTGTCACAACTTGTTACAGTATTCCGCTTTACGATAGATTTTTCAATCGGAGGAGTGGCTTCAATTATATCTTCGCTTACTTGTTCTTCTTCATTTTCATCAGAACTGATTAATGGGTTGTGGAGAGAAGAAATTCGTCGTCTTCTTCCGATTATCGAAGATGACATAGAGTCATTAAGTCGTTCATTAATAATAATGTTTTGTGAATGATTAGATTCCATAGTTTCATCCAGTTTCACCAATCTTTCTCGGACATTGTTTGCTCCACTTAAGGGTTGACGAAACTCACCATTACGATCCGATAAATTCATTGGTTCTACAACTGATTTTTCAATCAGAGGTATATCTTCAATTATATCTTCGCTTATTTCGTGTTCATCCCCATCACAACTATTTAAGGAGTCGTGATGGGAAGAAATTCGTCGTCTCTTTCCAATTATCAATGATGACATTGAATCATTAAGTCGTTTATTAATATTAATGTTTTCTGAATGATTAGAGTTCATGGTTTCATCTAGTTTCACCAATCTTTCTCGAATGTTGGTTGCTCCACTTAAAGGTTGGGAAAACTCGCCATTACGATCCGATAGATTCATTAATGTTGTGTCCGATTTTTTATCAATCAGAGGTATAGCTTCAATTATATTTTCGCTTCCTTCTTGTTCATCCTCATCACAACTGTTTATGGGGTTGTGATGGGAAGAAATTCGTCGTTTTTTTCCGATTATCGAAGATGACATTGAATCATTAAATCGTTCATTAATAATAATATTTTCTGAATGATTAGATTTCATAGTTTCATCTAGTTTTAACAAACTTTCTCGGACATTGTTTGCTCCACTTAAAGGTTGAGAAAACTCGACATTACGATCCATTTGATTCATTAATGTTGTGTCTGATTTTTTATCAATCAGAGGTATAGCTTCAATTATATTTTCGCTTACTTCTTGTTCATCATCATCACAACTGTTTATGGGGTTGTGATGGGAAGAAATTCGTAGTTTTTTTCCGATTATCGAAGATAACATTGAATCATTAAGTTGTTCATTAATAATAATGTTTTCTGAATGATTAGATTTCATAGTTTCATCCAGTTTCACCAATCTTTCTCGGACATTGCTTGCTTCACTTAAAGGTTGAGAAAACTCGCCATTACGATCCGATAGATTCATTA